TCCTGCTGACTCACCTGCGGACAAGTGCTCGGCGATCATCAACATGAGGAGCCCATCTACGGTGAAAGAGGTACAGCAATTGACGGGAAGGATGGCTTCTCTCTCCCGACTTCTATCAAGAGCAGCGGATAAAGCGCTGCCTCTTTTTCAATGTTTGAGGAAGAACGACCGGTTCGCTTGGACGACCGAGTGTGAAGAAGCCTTCTCCGAGCTCAAGAAGTCATTGGCATCCCCGCCGAACCTGACAAAACCACGACTAAACATGCCCTTGTTGGTGTACATCTCGATATCCGACCGAGCTGTCAGTTTAGTTCTGGTGCAAGAGCAAGAAGCTTCTCAAGTTCCTATTTACTTCGTAAGTAGAGTCTTGTAGGGAGCAGAGACAAGATATCAGAGGATCGAAAAGCTGGCCCTCGTGATACTGGTCACTGCGAGGAAGTTGAGGCACTACTTCCAGAGTTACGAAATGATAATTCGTACTGACCACCCGATTCGACAAGTCTTGCAAAAACCCGATCTGGCTGGCAGAATGATGAAGTGGTCGGTCGAGTTATCAGAATTCTTCATCAAGTATGAGCCGAGAGGAGCAATCAAAGCTCAAGCATTAGCCGACTTCCTAATAGAGTTGACCCCTCAGGCCGAGGAGAATACGGTCAGTGAAACCTAGTGGATTTTATCGGTTGATGGTGCTTCAAATCTAGGAGGAAGTGGAGCGGGAATTGTCTTGGAAGGCCCGGGGGGAATACTACTAGAGCAGTCACTACGATTTGAATTCCAAGCAAGCAATAACCAGGCCGAGTACGAGGCGTTGTTGGCCGGCATGGCATTGGCGAAGGAAATGGGGGCGACGAGTTTATCAGCACGAAGTGACTCTCAATTGATCACGGGGCAGGTAGCAGGCACGTTCCAGGCAAAGGACCCTCAACTGGCAAAGTACTTGGAAAAAGTCAAGCTCCTATCGGAAAATTTCCGGGAGTTCACACTTAACCACGTATCCCGAGAGCAAAATTCGAGGGCTGATCTGCTCTCCAAGCTTGCTAGCACAAAAAAGCCGGGAGCCACCCGATCGGTCATCCAAGAGACCTTAGCGCAACCAAGTATTAATGAACCACAGGGGAGTGTTCTTTTCATCGAAGAAGAGCTCAATTCATGGATGGGACCGTACATCACATACTTGACTCGGGGGGAATTGCTAGAGGACAAGAAGGAGGCGTCACTAATACAGAGGGAGTCAGCCAGGTTCGTAGTCATCAACGAGAGATTGTATCGAAGAGGTTTCAGCTCTCCCCTTCTAAGGTGTTTGACCACGTCACAAGCGCAGAGAGTGATGGACGAAGTACATAGCGGAATGTGTGGAAGCCATATTGGAGGACGAGCTCTGGTATACAAAGTGGCGAGGGCAGGCTACTTTTGGCCGAGTCTGAGAAATGACTGCGTCAATTGGGTTAAAAAATGTGATGGATGTCAAAGGCATGCAACACTGCACCACTCCCCAACTGAACGACTCCACTCGATTTTGTCTCTTTGGCCATTCAACAAGTGGGGTATTGACATACTCGGTCCATTTCTGATTGTAGTGAGACAGCTGAAGTTCTTGATAGTGGTCGTGGACTACTTTAGCAAATGGATCGAGGCGGAGCCAGTTGCAACCATCTCGGCAGAAAAGGTCAGAACTTTTCTTTGGAAGAATGTGGTGTGCAGGTATGGAGTCCCTCAAATTCTCGTTTCCGATAATGGGACACAATTTGCAAGCGCAAGAGTTTGAGATTTTTGTAAAGAGGTCGGCATCCGAATGGCATTTACTTCCGTCGAACACCCACAGTCTAACGGTCAGGCGGAGTCGGCCAACAAGGTAATCCTTACAGGTTTGAAGAAGCGTGTGCAAGACTCAGGCGCTTCATGGGTGGAAGAGCTTCCCCGAGTGCTATGGTCGTATCACACGACTGTTCATTCAACGACCCAAGACTCTCCTTTCAATCTGGTATACGGAACCGACGCCATGATCCCGATCGAAATTGTAGAGCCTTCAGTGCGCACTACAGCTTTTTCTGAGGGAGAATCTGACCAGGGAAGACGAGTTGATTTGGAGTTGATCGCAAAGACAAGAGAAAAGGAAAGGATAAATCAAGTAGCGGCCTAGAGAAGAGCAGACTTCAAGAACAATGCAAAGGTAAATTCAAGAGACTTTGTCGTCGGCGACCTAGTTTTGAGGCGTGCTCAGCTAACACAGATGAGGAACAAGTTATCACCTAAGTGGGTCGGCCCTTACAAAATTGACGACGTGGTCGGCAAAGGGGCTTACCGACTTAGGACCTTGGATGGAGGGATGATACCAAGAACTTGGAACGCGGCCAATTTACGCTTCTATTATAGCTAATCTTTCTTCTTATTTTGTATTAGATGCACTCTTTTCCTAACTCAGTATTTTTTCCCCGTAAAAATAAGAGGGGTTTTGACTGAGAAGGTTTTTAACGAGGCACCACAGCTCAAGTCTATTATTCAATGAACATCATTATTCCTCATATAATTTTTCATGTTTTATATAGAAAAGACCGAAACTCGTGATCGTCGGCAAAATTCCGACTGGGCGAGTATAAATAACTCGAAGACTAAAACTCGTGATTGTCGGCAAAAGTCCGACTGGGCGAGTATAAATAACTCGAAGACTGAAACTCGTGATTGTCGGCAAAAGTCCGACTGGGCGAGTATAAATAACTCTAATATTGAATGATGGAAGATGGACGACTACACTTAACACATTCGGATATTGAACGACTTCTTCATACGAGTAAAGACGATTTCCCATACAGATATCGGGCGACTTTTTCGTACGAGTAATTTGACTCGTCGGTTTATGAAAGTCCATTTTCAACTTAAAGGGGTTCATTTTTAACTTAGACAAATTTGTCATTACTCAGGTCGGCATGTGGATGACTAGTTGCACTGGAATTCAACTTTTAACTTAGAAAAAATTTCGTCATTTTCTAGTCGGTGGTTGAACGACTACCTCCAACAAGGTTCAATTTATAACTTAGACAAGTTTTTGTTACTATTCAAATCGGCATGTGGATGACTAGTTCCATCAAGATTCAATTTTTAGACAAATTTGTCATTACTCAGGTCGGCATGTGGATGACTAGTTGCACTGGAATTCAACTTTTAACTTAGAAAAAATTTCGTCATTTTCTAGTCGGTGGTTGAACGACTACCTCCAACAAGGTTCAATTTATAACTTAGACAAGTTTTTGTTACTATTCAAATCGGCATGTGGACGACTAGTTCCATCAAGATTCAATTTTTAGACAAATTTGTCATTACTCAGGTTGGCATGTGGATGACTAGGTGCACTGGAATTCAACTTTTAAACTTAGAAAAAATTTCGTCATTTTCTAGTCGGTAGTTGAACGACTACCTCCAACAAGATTCAATTTTTAACTTAGACAAGTTTTTTGTTACTATTCAAGTCGGCATGTGGACGACTGGTTCCATCATTTTCATTTTTAACTTAGAAAGTTTTTTGGCATCTTTCTAGTTGGTATTTTGGACGACTAGATGCTTTGAGATTCATTTTTACCTTAGATAAATTGTGGCATCTTTCCAGTCGGTATTTGGACGACTAGATGCTTCGATTTTCATTTTTAACTTAGAAAGTTTTTTGGCATCTTTCTAGTCGGTGTTTTGGACGACTAGATGCTTTGAGATTCATTTTTACCTTAGATAAATTGTGGCATCTTTCCAGTCGGTATTTGGACGACTAGATGCTTCGATTTTCATTTTTAACTTAGAAAATTTTTTGCGCGTTACGTGGGTCGGTATTTGGACGACTATGTTCATCTTTTGATCATTTTTCAATTAGCAAGTTTTATACACGCAAGGAGGACGGTATTTTACCGACTAAGGCCACCTTCTGAAAATTTTAAAAGAACAATTTTTACGCATTACGTGGGTCGGTATTTGGCCGACTATGTTCATCTTTTGATCATTTTTCAATTAGAAAGTTTTATACACGCAAGGAGGTTGGTATTTTACCGACTAAGGCCACCTTTTGAAAATTTTAACTTAAAATTTTTTTACGCATTACGTGGGTCGGTATTTGGCCGACTGTGTTCACATTTTGGTCATTTTTAACTTAAAATTTTTTTTTGCGCATTTAGGATGATCATGATTACACGCTCAGATTACTCGGAAAACATCATTCCCTTGAATTATACCAAAAAAGGAGTAAGTTCACATTGAGCTCAAAAAGGAAAGCACAACAATCGTTCTGAAAAACAACTAACAATAGTGCGAAAACACAACATCCTAAACAAAAAACTTAATCATCCTCGGGGGGATCCACCAGTTCTCCATCAACAATCTCTTTGAAGTACCCCACACCCCCAAGATCCAGGTCTGCATGGAGGAACTTCACTTGCTCAATCGCAGCATCAAAACCCGCAGTAAATTTCTTCAAGGCCTCAACCTTGGCAGCATGAAGTTCGGCCTCTGAGTTACTCAGCTCAACTTTGAGTTTAGAGACGTCGGTCTCAAAAACTTGGGCAGCATCGGCATTCTTGTCCCGAGCGAGTCGAGTCTCTTCAAGTTCCTTCATCATCAGCTCTTTCTCCTCAGCCCATGCCTTTCTTTCACTTTCGAACTCTCGGCTTTTCTCTCTCATTAGACACCCATTTTAAGTCAGCTTTCCCTTTGTTCAAACTTTCTTCCAGGATATTCACTCTCTTCCCTTGAAGCTTCAGTTCTCGCGTCAAGCTTCGGACTTTATCCTCATTAACTATGGAAAGAACAGAAAGTCGGTTAGACAGAGACTCGATGCCTTTCACAATGGAGAAAGCACTCATCTTCGACAAGTCTTCCTTGTCACCCTCCAACAGGTCCGTCCCACGAAAGTGGTCAGAATGGTTGAACTTCTCGTCCCAGAATGAAGAGATCTTTTCGCTCTCGTTTCCACGGTCTATGGGCTCCCACCCTTCACCGAGACACATACTCAAGGTCCTTTCGGCCGACTGAGCCTCATTCTCTTCATCCCTGTCACCCCCCTCTTCATTGGCAACTATGGTTTCAAGATTCACGACCGATATCGACTTATCTACCTCTCGGCGACGCTTGAGCGGGGGGGCACCAGTTTGTTTCTGCGTAAATGGCGTACTCGACTCCCCCACCCTCTCGGTCGTCGACCCTTCAACACCAGCAGCCTTGGACGCTTCTTGCTCTTTTCACAGTTTCCTAAGCTCTCGGTTACTCAGGCTGGCCATGTTCTCTGCAAAAAGTTCAAAAACACACCATGTTCACAATAAAATTCGGAAAACAAAGCAACTGCATAATCGCAAGAAAAAATCGTAAGTACCTATGTAGATTTTCAGTTGAGTGGGCCTATTCTCTAAATCTAGAAGTTTGGCAGTGTTGAAGATGGTTTTGAGGTCTTCAAGTTTTTTTACATCCTTTCGGTCATTTTCCGATAATACATCAGCCTCTAACCCCTTAATAGGTGAAGGTTTCTCACACCAGTACAATGGATACCCTTCGAGTAAGTTTTCGTTACCCGCTGTACAACGAATCCGGAAGTAGGCCCTCTTAAAGTCTTTATAGGATTGCTGGAATAGGGATAATAACCCTTTGCCAGTAACTCCACCCACCGACACCCAACTACTACGCTTAGATATACGACTCTCAAAAAAGTAAAAGAACTTGTTGGTAGTAGGCGAAATACCGAGACCCGAGCATAAAATTTTGAACCCACGAACAAAGGCCCATCCATTCGGGTGAAGTTGGGTGGGAGCCACGTTTAACACTCGAAGCACTCCTTTCTCACACTCGGTAAGTGGCCACCTAACCTTAAGTTTGGAAATAAGTGTAGTATAACAAAATGTAAAGCGTTCTAACGGCGGGGCACTAGGGAAACTAACACAGACGGGTTCCCTATCTACACACGGCTCACAAATAATAATACCAGCGCCCTCCCTACACACTACATGCTCCCGACAAAAGCTATCTATGGCAGCACAAGAATTCAGGGTTGAGTCACATTTCAGCAAATCATCCCTAACCCATTTGTACAACTCCTTATAACTTACGGTGGCCATTTCCATTTTATAAACAAAACCTAACTTTACTGACGGTAGAGGAAGAATTTGGCTTAAAAAAAAAAGCTACTAAGACAAGGGGATAGATGTGCGTACCTAGGGTTCACTCTCACAACCTTTTCCCACCCAACACAGGCACAGAACCGCCGTGCGCCGCCGTAGACCACAAGAAAGCAAGAAACTGTCACCGGAGGAACGGCATGCGCAGAGCAAGAGGCAAAAAACGAAATCAAAAGGTTCCCAAATGACGCATATTTATAAGAGCAAGCGCGCCGGGCTTGTTATCAGTAAAAATCATAGAGGTTTCAACTCTGATATCGCGCCGGGCTTGACTGATGTCGCGCCCGGCATGGTGGTTCCAGAGACCACAATTCGAGTCTTGCGCTGAGCGCGAGGTAAAACACGCCCGGCGCGTAACCTTGATATGGTCAGTTTTGCCTAAATTTACTTTGAAAGGAGGCCTTATAACCACCCGGAAACAGAGTTACCTCATTTCTCACACTCCAAACAAAATATACCCTATATTTACTCATTCAAACATGATTCAAACACTTAACAATTAATACAAACAACACATAACACAAACAACATATAACACAAAACATATATACATATAAACAAAATAAGTCACAAATAGCTATAAATACTAAATCGCCATTCTAATCCCCGGCAACGGCGCCAAAAA